AGGAAACAAAGCTTCTTTGTGTAGCCCAGCTGGCCTGGAACTTGCTCTGTAGACCAGGCTGGCCTCTAACTCACAGAGATCCACCTGACTCTGCCTCCCAAGCACTGAGATTAAAGATGTGCACCACTGTATCTGTCTAAAAAAATTGGTACACCCCTTTAATCCCAGCACTTGGGAGGCAGAGGCAGATGGATCTAGCCTGATCTACAGAGTGAGTTCCAGGACAGCCAGGGCTACACAGAAAAACCCTGTCTCAAAACAACAACAGCAACAAAAAGAAAAGCAAAAAATAATGAAAAAAATTTTTTTCTCTAGACATGATCTCATGTAGTTAGGCTGGCTTTTTAAATCACTAGGTAGTAGAGGCTGGCCTTGAACTCCTGCTCCTTCTGTTTTGACTTCCTGAGTGTTGGGATCACAGTTTTATACCACTACACCTGCCTTAGGTTCTCTTTATATAGATACATGCTGAAGTAAAATGAAAATTTTCTTTTAACATAGCAAAGCTATTTTAGATGAATACCCCGGGGTTTCTTTCTTTCTTTTTCTTTTTTCATTTTGGTTTCAAGACAGGGTTTTTCTGTGTAGCTCTGCCTGTCCTCGAACTCACAGAGGTCCACCTGACTCTGCCTCTCCAGTGCTGGGTTTAAAGGCATGTACTACCACCCACCAGCTACCCTGGGGTTTCTAATGGTGCTTTACTATCTTCCATTTCTTATTAAATTTAGAAACATACCCTCTTAGAGTGTGATCAGAGGTTGATTCAATTTAATTATAACAATAACATCAACATTTGAGTTCTTTTTACAAAAAAAATTTACTTCATACATCTGCATTGAGTAGACAATGCAGGGGTAACCAGTCCTGTTTTTTTAATTTTTATTTTTATTTTGCATAATTAGTGTTGTCCTTTCAAAGGATGTTATTTCTGATTCTAATGAGAACCCTTTTATTTGTTTTCTCTCAGCACAAGGAAGACATCCGTTGCTTAACCACCCTTAGCCACTTTGGGTTTGAATGTTTCCCCACTCAGATGGTGAACAAATCCATCCGGAAAGGATTTTCTTTCAATATTCTCTGCGTGGGTAAGTACCAGACACCGCATTTAAATTAGTTTTGGTTTGTCTCCCACTCATTTAAACTGATACCAAAGAAGTACTATTGATGTTAATTCAGGAACAGTTCTTCATAGTTATATTGTTTTTTCCTCTTCTTAGCTACATTGTTTAAACATTTAAGAACCTTTCAGCCTGGCTGGGGACATATTTTTTGTTTGTTTTTGTTTTTTGTTTGCTTGTTTTTCGAGGCAGGGTTTCTCTGTGTAGCCTTGGCTGTCCTGGAACTCACTCTGTAGAACAGGCTGGCTTTGAACAGAGATCTGCCTGCCTATCAAGGCCAGGAGGACCTCTAGCAGCTCAGGGCTCAAAGGGAAGCCACTGAGTTGGCATGTACTAGACTATTTTTTATCTGAGGGGGTAAGGGAAAAGTCCCTCACACACTCTCTTGACGGTTTCCTTCGTATCTTTTCTTTATTTTTCTTTTGCATTCTCTGTTCTTTATTTTCCTGGTGATTTCCTTCTCTCATTCTTGATGTTTCCTTCTAGCCCATTTTATCTCTCTCTAACTCTATCTCTATTCTTTCCCTTACAGCTTATATACCTCAGCAAAATCTTTCGAGCAGTATAAAAATTACAATGTGACATTCCGTGAATACAACTAAAAAACAGCATGTTTTCAATATCCCTTACACAATTAAGTATTTTACATATTACAGGTGAACAAAAAATTATCCCAAGAACCTACATACATTCCTACCCAAGCAACTTGTTACAGATTAACCATGTGGGCCAGCAAGATATTTTTCTCCTTGAGTTTTTTTTTTTTTTTTTTTTTAACTGGTAGGCTGTGTTTTGCAGTTATACAGAAAGGGCCAATTACTTTATTACTTATCTTGAAAGGTAATGTTATAAGGAATTTTTTTTTTAAGATTTATTTATTATGTGTCAGGGACAAGGACAGAATCTCTAGTTAGTGGAAAAATACAGACCTCCAATAAGACAGGGAACTAGATCAGCTTACAGTCAGGTTGCCTAGCAACAGGACATTGAGTCAGAGCCCTTGACCCTCTCACCCTGTAAACATTCTATACAAACATCCTGTTAGCTTGCCCCACCTTACGCAGATGACAGCTTCTTGCTCCCCCCACCCTGCAGAACTATATAAACCTTTGTGGAAGAGAAATAAAGTGGCACCTTAATCAGAATCTAGACTTGGTGTCTTTCCTTTGTATCTCCTGTCCCTACATTCCCTCCTTAGGGTGGTTGAGAATCCATTGAAGCCCTGCAGGCAGGGCAATTATATATACAGTATTCTGCCTGCGTGTGTCCCTGCAGACCAGAAGAGGGCACCAGATCTCATTACAAGTGGTTGTGAGCCACCATGTATGTAGTTGCTGGGAATTGAACTCAGGACCTCTGGAAGAGCAGTCAGTGCTCTTAACCACTGAGCCATCTCTCCGGCCCTATAAGGAATCTTAAAGGAATCACAAACCTAAACTTTTATATGTGAAAAACAATCAGTCAGCTGTACTTTAAATTTTTAGGGTGCACGTCCACTCATCAAGTTTTTTATATCAGGAGATTGAGGCAGGAATGGGTACAAGGAATTAATCATCACCTTTGGTCATCAACCAATCCTAGTAAGAAAAGTGCATCAGCTAGTAATGATTGGGCTGCTTTGTTCTTGTTCCCTGACCTTAACAAGTTCCTCATTCAAGTATGTGCTTTTCTAAAACTTTAGATTGTCTTCTTGGGTTTTCCACCTCAAAGCTTTTAAACAAAAACATCTTAGCCTGGCAGTGGTGGCGCACGCCTTTAATACCAGCAGCTGGGAGGCAAAGGTAGGTGGATCTTTGTGAGTTTGAGGCCAGCCTGGTTCTAGGACAGCCAAAGCTACACTGAGAAACCCTGTCTTGAAAAACAAAACAAAACAAAAGAGAAAAAACAAAAACATCTTAGTCTAACTTTATTTTCAAAGCTTTGTTTCAGCTATTATGTACTCTGAAATCTGTGAACACATCTCCCAACAGTAAGGTTAAAAGAATTTAAGCTAGCTGGGCTGCTGGGACTCAGTTGTTTTTCTTAATCATTAACTTAAGTTTCAGTCTATACGGCTCCTCAATAGAAACTCATGTGTTCTAGTTGTGAGACAATTCCTTGTTTCTATATATACATATATATATTTTAATCATCAAAACTCTATTTAAACTAACATTATTATTATCAATTAGTATAGCTTAGGAAGAAATCATCTTCGCAATAACCCACAGGTAAAAACCTCAGTAGGACAGGATGTTTCCATGAGATAAACACACTACATTACAGGCAGTGGGGGTCTCTCCACACCCATTCACACTATGCTGGATACCAGAGAAAGATGGCAGCAGCAAACATGTGAAGGCACAGCAGAAGCAAAAGACACTTTGCAGTCTGTGATCTCGGAGCCTTGTTAATCTCATTTTCATCCATCAGGGATTCATCTCCTGGTGGGCTGGCACCCTGAAATCAACTGCCATCTGCTGCTCCTCTGACAAGGCTGCTGGCATCTGCCTCTGCCTCCCAAGAGCTGGGATTAAAGCTGTGGGCCACCACCTCCTGGCAGAGACATATGTTTTTCATCCCAGCATTTGGGAGGCTGACAGGTAGATCTCTGTGAGCTTGAGGGCAGCTTGGTCTACATAGCAAATCTCAGGGCAGCTAAGGCTATGTTGTCAGATCTTGCCTCAAAAAACAAATATTTTTTTTAAAAAAATTTTTTGAGACAGCGTTTCTCTGTGTAGATTTGGTGCCTGTCCTGGATCTCGCTCTGTAGACCAGGCTGGCCTTGAACTCACTGAGATCACCTGCCTCTGCTTCCCAAGTGCTGGGATTAAAGGCATGCACCACCACCACCCAGCTGAGCTTATGTTTATTACAGGAGAAACTGGAATTGGAAAATCAACACTGATCAACACACTGTTCAATACTAATATGAAAGAGAGCAAGTCCTCCCATTTCTACTCAAAGGTTGGACTCAAAGTAAGGACATTTGAACTTCTGGAAACAAACATCCCACTGAAATTGACTGTGGTGAAAACAGTGGGGTATGGTGACCAAATCAACAAAGAAGCCAGGTTAGTGTTTTCTTACTGCTTTTAAATTAAAATTGAAAGTTAGCATGAAAGGTACTGGGTTTCATTATGATGTATTTTCTTCTTTTTCAAAAATAGTAGAGATCATTTTCTCCTTTCTTTTCCTTCTTTCCTTCTTTCCTCCCTCCCTCCCTCCCTCCCTTCCTTCCTTCCTCCCCCCCACCTCTCTTTGACAAGGTCTTACTCTGTAGCCCCAACTGGCCTAAAACTCTCTCGGTAGAATCAGTGTGACCTTGAACCCACACTTAACTGCTTGCCTCTGCTTCCCAAGTGCTTGGATTAAAAGTTTGTGCCATCAGGCAGTGAGTTTTAATGTTTTATTTAAAATCTTTCTCATTTCAACAAATTGCCTTCTTATTGCTAGACTAAATTGTACTATCTTAAAATTTTTATTTTCATCATTTTAATTATGTGTGTGTGTGTGTAAGTGTGTGTGTGTGTGTTTGTGTGTGTGTGTGTACATACCAGGTGCCTGCAGAAACTAGAGGCATTGGATGCTCTTGCAGCTGCAGTTAGAAAGGTTGTGAGCCATTAGGTGGATGCCGGGAACCAAATTTGGGTCCTCTGGAAGAGCATATGAGCTCTAAACCACTGAGCCCTTTCTTCAGCCCTAAATTATAATATTCTTCTATGGTTATTGATGTCTTTCCTTCTAGCCTTTAACTCTTTCCCCATTAAGTAATATTTTTATGAAATTGATGCTTTTATATATCTAGTGTAATTATCTTATTTACAATTTTTATTTTATGTGAATGGGTGTTTTTGCCTGTATGTATGTCTACACACTAACAGGCATGCCTGGTGTCCATGAAGGCCAGAAGAGAGCAGTTAGATCCCCTGCAATTGGAGTAACAGAGAGTTGTGAGCTGCCATGTGGATGTGGGGAGTCAAACCTGGGTCCTCTGGAAGAGAGACAAATGGTCTTAGCTGAGTCACCTTTCCAGCTTATTCTACCTCAACTCTGCATTTAATGACATCATGTGATCAGCATGAAATTAGCCAAGATGGGACAATTCATACCACAGAAGCCAGCAAATTCTCATTCATTCTCTCTCTCTCTCTCTCTCTCTCTCTCTCTCTCTCTCTCTCTCTCTCTCTCTCTCTCAGACAGAGTTTGTTGTGTAGCTCTGGCTGTCTTAGAACTTACTATGTAGACTAGGCTGGCCTTGAACTTAGAGATCCACCTGCCTCTGCCTCCTAAGTGCTAGGACTAAATGAATGTGCCACTGTGCCCACCTTGATGCCAGCAAATCTTAAAAATCAGTATTTTTTTTTTTCTTTACAGAGAAGACCATTTTAAATACTCACCATTATTTTGCTGTTTCAGGACAAGATTTTGAACAAAGAATATGTCAGAAAAAGGATGAAACAAAAGCACATGGCGTGTTGCTTTAAGTAGTTGCTCTTAGAAAATGAGCATCATTTTAATAATCAGCTTAATTCTCCTAAACGCTACATCCTTTGTTCTGTGGTTAAGAAATAAGTCTCACAATTCACCTTGCATTCGTTGCAATTGAGTGTAATAAATCACCCTAAACTGATGCTTAAAACAGTAGAAACATTCTTTCACAGTTCTACAGTCCAGAAATCCAGAAATCTCACAAGTCAGAGCTTGTGAGAAACTGAAGCAGGAGGATTTGCCGTGAGCTTCAGACCAGCCTGGGCTGCTCTCCTAGTTTGGTTCCTATTGCTGTGATTAAACAAACAAACAAACAAACAAACAAACAAACAAACAAAAAAAACGGCGATCCAAAGCACCTTGGGCAGGGAGGGGTTTATTCGGCCTCCGCATCCCAGGACATAGCGTGACGTTTACTGGCTTGCTCATCGTGGCTTGCTCAGCTTGCTGTCTTAAGACACTCAAGGCACCATCCAGAGCGAGCTCTGCCCTTCCACATCGGTCACTAAGCAAGAAAATGCCCTGTGGACTTGCGCACAGGCAGTGTGATGGAGGCGTTTTCTCAGCCGAGGTTCTTCTTCCTAGATATGTATAGCTTGTGTTGTTAGGGTCTGAGAGAAGCCCCCAAGAAAGACCGACAGTCACGCGCGCAATTTAGCAAGCGCGTTTATTGTTTCCAACAGATTCGAGCCCAAAGGGAGGTCGCAAGCTCCTTTTAAGCGGAGTTAGGGGAATTTCAGGAAGGAGGGATTAATCTGGTGCTGATTGGTGGAGGAAAGATTAGTCTGGGGCTGATTCGTGGGAGCTCTAGTGGTGAGGGACCGTCCATCCCTCTAGTGGTGAGGGACCATAGGAGAAGCTATCTTCAGCTAGCAGAAGGCTGGGGGGCACCTGCTGATTGGTTTCCCCTGAGTTGTGGTCTTTCCGAGAACCGCTCGCTCAGCTCCAGCGAGTTCCAGGAAACTGAAACTGAGGCCTGGTCCCTAGCAGGGCTATTAGAAACCTATCATGGCTCTGATCTGGCTCCTAGACCCTCTCAGTGTCAACCGGACAAAAGTCCAATCAGGACAGCTACAGAGCAAGCGAAAATGTGCCTTCTAGAGTCCACCCAGACTAGGGCTTTAGGAAAGCAGCCCTTCCTTGTTTATTATAGCTTCCGGTGTCAACTGTCACTCATGGCTAAGTCCCTCCCATCTGTACCTCCACACAGCAATCACTGGACTAAAGATGTGTCCAGAGGGTCCCAGTGACCTTATTTTCAAATTTCTATTTTTCTCTCTCTTGAGACTAGAGTTTGCTACGTACCCTACGTATCCTAGGGTAGCTTTGAATTCACTAAATAGTCCAGGCTGACTATTCAGAGCAATCCTCCTGCCCCAGACTTCTGGTGTTGGGATTCAGGAATGTGCCACTATGACCTGCACATTTCATATTTTCAAAATTACATCTATAACCCTATTTCCCCTAAAATAAAGTCATATTCTTTAGGGATTAGGAGTTGGATGTCATGCATTCTACCACCCGGCCACACCCCTAACTTGGAATATTTTATGGCTAATAAAATGCATCTTTTTTATTTTTTTTTTTAAGACAGGGTTTCTCTGTGTAGTTTTGGTGGCTGTCCTGGAACAGGTGTCTGTAGCTCAATCAAACTCACAGAGAGCCTCCTGCCTCTGCCTCCCAAGTGCTGGGACTAAAGGCATGCGCTTCCACCGCCACCCCTGCCACCATCACCCAGCGAAATGCATCAGTTTTATCAAGTGACACACTGTTTTTTGCACACAATGTTGATTAAATAGTGAGACACCAGATTCAGATTTTATTAATCTGTTGTGCTAAATGTTTAAATAATGATTCTTTTTTTTTTTTCAGCTACCAGCCAGTCGTTGACTACTTAGATGCTCAGTTTGAGCTGTATCTCCAGGAGGAGCTGAAGATCAAACGCTCCTTGAGTGACTATCAGGATTCTCGCATCCATGTGTGTTTCTACTTCATCTCACCCACGGGACACTCCCTCAAGTCCCTGGACCTGCTGACGCTGAAGAACATCGACAGAAGGGTGTGTTTGATAACCCCACCAGACTCTCAAGGTTCCACGGATGTTTTGAGATGACAACAATGTATCTTGAAGCATTCAAGGGCAGCTTCCTGCTATTTGAGAATATGTGCATATTATTTAAATATTTTTTTTCTGTTGCTCTTGAAAGCATTTGAATGAATTTTCCGGGGCGTTCCTAACAATATGCTAGAGAGTAGATGGTTTAAACAATTTTTTTTTAAAAAATCGTTTTTCACATAGTCCTGGAAGCTAGAGAATCAAAATGCTAGCATTTGTCTTCTTGGCTTGCAGATGGCTGCCTCTTTACATCTCACATGGCCTCTCTGCTGGTATCTGTATGGAAAACATTCTGGGTTTTGTTTTTTGAGACAGGGTCTTATGTAGCTCAGGCTGGCCTTCAACTTGTAGCTGAGGTTGGCCTTAACTTCCTGATTTCCTGCCTCAGTTTTTACAGAGTTGGGATTAAAGGTATACCTTTAAACTAGGCCACATTTCTCTTTCTTTTAAGGCTGATAATCAGCCTGGATTAGACACCCCCCCCACCCCCCCCACCCCCGCTATAACATTCTAACTTTAATTTAAAATTTCCATCTGCAAGTACTGATACTGATATAGAGGGTTAAGACACCAATATACAAAATTTAGGGGAGGGAAATTTTAACATTTGATGGAATTCATTTTTAGCTATCATTTTCTTCTTCTTCTCCTCCTCCTCCTCCTCCTCCTCCTCCTCCTCTTCCTCCTCCTCATTTTCTTCTTTTTGGTTTTTCTAGACAGTGGAATTCATTTTTAGCTTCTTTCTTCTTCTTCTTCTTCTTCTTCTTCTTCTTCTTCTTCTTCTTCTTCTTCTTCTTCTCCTCCTCCTCCTCCTCCTCCTCCTCCTCCT